CACACACCGTCTGTTGTGTTACTATTGTTCTCTTTGTAGTAGTGTGCCCAGCTGCTCTTACATGGTGTTGGGTCTAAACTCAAAACTGTTAGGAATTCACTTCCCAGCTGGTTTTTTTTAATGCCTTATGACATTAATCGCACCTTGCCTACTCACTGATGTTATAGAAATAAATCACAATATTATGAAGCACAATGCAGTGTTAGAGGGGTGATGTGCTTCTACTTAACTCTCATGAGCTCATTCCCAGTATACCTTAGGAGCTGGATTTCTCTCATCTCACTCCAGCCATCTAAAAGTTGAGCATTTAATCAGAGCAACCTCTCTAGATTTTTTGCACGCTGCAGCAATGCAAACAATATATAACAGAATTTTTCTGATGGAATAAACCTAACCTTTGTTACCCCCCCACAGCTTTGTAACAAAATAGTGTTTCTGGTGAGCTTTGTTGGGAACCGTGGAACTTTCACACGTGGCTACAGAGCAGTCATCATGGACATGGCTTTTCTCTACCATGTAGCGTACGTCCTGGTCTGCATGCTGGGCCTCTGCGTGCACGAATTCTTCTATAGTTTCCTGGTAAGTATGTGCTTCTGTGGAGTTGAAAACTTCACAAAAATAGAAAATACCGTTACCCATGCAGCTGTCTTCAATTTATTCCTGACAATCAAGCCAAATCGTGTATCTTTAGCATGCCGTTGTGCTGCTGCCCCTTAGGAGCTGCTGTTTTCATTAGAACCTGTTTCTGTTAGGACTTACTTTATCTCTTTTAGGGTTGAATGTTTTCCCCTTTCTTTTCAGACAATCAGTCTGAAATTTCTGTCACTTGTTTGTCAATTTCAGACAATACAACCCAGTCCTTTCTCCCACTCTTCCCCAACATGTGTATATTATATGTATGTTGTTCCTGTATCTTGTGTCTGTCATAATCTCCTTGGGACAGGAGTTGTCCACTGGTGTGTGCATCATACCTATATGTTGCAGCTCTAATAAAAAATAAAGAAAAAAAGATTCCTGGGGAAATAGGGACAGCACGCCTCTGGTGTGGCGGGGGGATTCATCACTTTAAGTGCATCCCACTTTCATTTTCTTTTGTTGCCATTACGCAGATGGAATGCCTCTTTGTGATACCATACAGGTGCAATGAAAATGAATCACACGAAATTATGCTAAACTCAGCTAACTGTTCCCTTCATGCTGAATAGCAGTAAGAGGTGTTTCACTGCTCTTGTTTTCTAATCCTTTTCCTTTATACTGGAGCATGTGAAACTTGTTTGGAGACGGACTGAATTGTGGTCATTTACACAGGTTCACTTCCCTGTTGTCATATTTTTCTCAGCTTCCTGACTAGTGGTGAGCTCCCAGCACTTCACAGAGGTGTTAAGCACACTAAAATTTTCAGGGGTTCAGTCCTTACTCTGGTGGAGCTCCTGTTGAAGTCAGGTTTTCCGGATCTTGACATGAAAGTCAGCTTCAAAGTTTGGGCAGATTTCAAAGGAGCCAAGATTTTGTGGCTGTAGCTGCAGGCCCCTTTTCAAATGGATGTAACTCTCCTGCTAATTGATGCCTACCTTAAAAAATGCACAGCAAATTATCTGTTATTCCTTCAGTGAGTAATAACTTAAAATACTTTCTGAAGTGCCCAGTAGTTTAAGAAACATTTTATGTATGTACTTTTTTGGTGACTGCTGTTGACAAAGGTCCATGATTCATGGTGGTGTAGTTGTCCACATTCCCAAGTTACTTCCAGGTGTTCACTTTGTAGTGGAAATATTCTAAATTCTAATATTTGTTCCTTGTTTTAAGCTTTGTCTTGTATGGAATGAATGATAACTGTCTTCCTTCTTTCTTCATGTATTATTTCACAAGGCTGTAGATTTCAGATCTTGTGAATTGTGACTAATAGCTTCTTCTGTGGACCATTTTGATAAATCATAGTGTGTCACTTTCTATCTGTAATCTGTGTGTTTTGAAGTGGAAATACATACATTATAGATAAGGTCCAAAGCACCATAGAACATCAATAGAATTGTAAGAGGAAAAAAAGCTATAGTTTCTTGAAAAGCTCTTACCACGTTTAATTGCTATTTTGGGCCTTTGACTTGTAAAGCAATATTATCTCAATGTATACTTGTCTTTAAAGTTAAATACCAGGAAAGCATATAGTACAGGGTTAAGAAGTTTCTAGTTTTATACAAAGAGTGCAATGAATTTTTGTCCTAAAAAGAGATGGCCCCGATCCTTGTACATGTGAGTGACTTTTAAATGGTGCCATGAGCTCAAAGAAACAGTTTACAGATGTGTAATTACTTGCATACACGAGTGCATTTTTCAGTTGCAGCCTGTGCATGTTTATGAGGTGAGAAATACCATGAAAAATTTAATTTGTAGGTGTAGATCCTTAGCATGAAGGCACTATTTTTTAGTTTTAATTTAGCCTGGTTTTGAGCATGGGGAAACAATAGATCTTGTTGGTAATGGTTATGCATGTCTAGATCAGGCTCGTATGTAATATATACTTTGTGGCTTTGGATTTTGCTATAATCTATCTTAAAATTAAAAGTTCTGTGCTAGATTTTCTCCTCCTATAAGCATGCCTAGTGTGTTTATGAAGCTGAGGGTTTAAAACATGACTAGATGTATGTTTTAGTAGTTCAGATTGTTTTCCTATGTAACATCTATATATTGCCTCATTTGTTCTCATTTTTTCTATACTCTCTGCTTTTCCCAGCTGTTTGATCTGGTCTACAGAGAAGAGACTTTGCTAAATGTGATAAAAAGTGTTACCCGGAATGGTCGTTCCATTATCCTCACTGCAGTGCTGGCACTCATCCTAGTTTATCTCTTCTCCATCATTGGGTTCCTCTTCTTGAAAGATGACTTTATCATGGAGGTTGACAGATTGAAAATCAGGACCCCTGTTGCAGGCATTGTTTTTTATATTAAAATTTGCTTCTGATATCCACCTTTTCTGTCTATCTAACCTAACTTTTCTCTAAGGAAACTTAATTTTTTAATTTGTATCGTTGGGAGCAGAACTAACTCCTTTATACTTTAGAACTAAATTAAGTCTCTGGGTAAAATTTAATGTGTAGGGTTGTTTTAGACTAGGTTTATCTGTTGAAGTACTAAAATCTAGCACTCACACTTGATTTAATACACTTTCTTTTCTAACTCATGCTAATATAAAAAAAAAAAAGAAATCTCAATTTCATAAGTATTTGGAAGAGCAACTCAAAAGTGGATTCTGTTGACTCTCATCCCACATTAAAAGCTGCTCATAGTATTTTCTGTGTACTGCATGAAGCATGTGATCTTGACATGTTCAGTAGGTGTATCTATTTGATTACTTTTAAGGTTCATCCAGCTGAAATTTATTACAGAATCCACACTTCTGCTGATAGATTTCCTGGATGATCTTTTAAATTCAGCATGTATTTCACAAACATCACCATTAGTGTATAATCCTGGCTTCAGTAAAATCACTGGGAGATTTTTAACCTGTTTTAAAAAGGTTTCAGCTTCCTGGAATGAGAGATTTTACCAGTGTGGATAAAGAGTTACAAAGTTGTTATGCTAGAAAAAAAGCCAGGTCTGGTCTATTGAGATTTCTGTATATGCTGCCAACCAGCCTTCTGGGAGCATGGGCAGAGCAGTAACTGTCTGCATAGAAATACCTAAGAATAGCATAGATTAAATTCACAGAGCCATGATTTTCCCAAATGCTGAGCTCTTCAGACCTGTACACAATCAAGAACTACTAGTGAGATCTGCCCTGGACTGTGTGCATTCAGTGTTTGCTAGCCTTTTCCTAAATTTTTTATTTTGGCACCTAAAGTGCACAAACACGGCAAAGCTCTTTCAAGACCCCTGTGCATGGTGTACTCATATAGCTGTTTTGATACCACAGGATAAAAAAGAACCAGACAGGTATCTTTTTGCCACTGATCTTCTTAAAGGGGCTACATTGGCTTCTGTCTGAGTTACCATTCATTTTGGGACAAAACTTATGATCTGAAGTTTCATTTTGCAAGATAATTGTGGCCATCATAGAAGAACAGGTGCAAGGCTACACACAGCACTGGGCTGGTCCAGTGCTGTAGTTCCTGGTGTTTTTGTTGCTTCTGTTGGGTCCTTGGCAGATATTTGTGATTTTTCCTGATCAAAAACTCATCAAGAAAATAAGCTGATGAGATACTGATGGAACATTATGCATCCCAAGACAAGTACTTTAAATGTTTTCTTTACAAAGTAGGACAAAGAGAAAGTCAGAGCGGATGTTTTCTGTTACACAGATTGTCTCAGACTGTTACTTTGGTCGTATGATTTTGACTTCATTTTTTTCCTCCTTAAACCTTTTTGTATCTCTGTTTTGAAATGGAGAAAATTGTTGAAGATGCAGAAGATAAAATTGGTTTGATAAAATCAAGCTGATGTTAACATTTACCCACTTTGGGAATGTTAAATTAGTGTTTTACACAAACCCATACATATTTACAAATGAGTACGAAACTGTGTTATAATCCTTGAAAACTCTTAAATATTCTACATTCAGGTTAACTGAACATCAGCTTGGTGTCCTTCTTGTCAGCTTTTGTGAATAATTTATCTAATGGTTTTAAAACTGACATTATTTTCATATCTGACAGTTGTTTCTTGCTTTGAATATATTTTGTTCTAACCAGAAGTAGCAGCATTTGATGTAGATTCATTAATTTCAGGAGGTGAAGTGGGAATAGCTGTGATATACAGTAAATATAAAACTGTTGGTTTGTTCCTTGTGATTGCTTTGAGCTGTTGAGGCAGACTGTTTGAGGAAGGAGGCATTGGTGGTATAATTTGTTCTGCTTTTTCTTCTCAACTTTTCAAGACAGTGATTCACTTCTATAAAATAATGATTTAAAAGTTTGTATCAATGCAGTATCTGTCTTTTTGTCAATATCCTGCTTTTTCCACAGGTATTGGTGAAGTCCCCCCTACGACCCTTACATCAATGATGGGAGCCTGTGCAAAAGAGAACTGTTCCACAAGCATCCCAATTGGTAACCCAGGTTAGTGCAAAAGTTCCCCAAAATGATGATCAATTAGAACGGAGGGATTTGTGTGTTGTTATCGCAGATACTTTTGCTAGTGTGAAAAGTGATGATCATTGTTGTAAGTCAGAAGTGCTCAACTTCTGCGAGGCTTGGAGCTTGGTTGGCAGCTTGCCTTTGATACGAGTGCTTCCCCCACCTGATTTCCAATTGCATTGACATTAATTTTATTACTAAAAGAGCTTGCTGAATCATTATGCTCTAACGCACAGGTCGCTTCTTTCCAGCTGACATTGCTGAGAGAAAAGGCTTGCTGCTTATCTGCAGCATCCTCACCTGCACACACTGAGCCACTATTAGAGCCATTTAGGGCCATGTAAGTTGATTTTAATGGCATAGCATTTATCAGCAAGCTTTTGTGTATAATTTCTACATGCTTCTAGGCCAATTTTGTAGAGTAGCCAGAAGACCTAAGAGCCCAGATCCAGGATCAACTTACTATGTCTTAACGAGTTCCTGTGGCTCAGCTAAGCACAGGCAACAGTCCATCTATGCATTCTTAGCTTGTGGCAGATGCAAGCAGGCTGTTGCGAGCCTTTCTTGCAATAGCTGGGCTGTGTTGCTTTGTGCTTGTGGCAAGCGAAGATCTTAATTGCCCTGGTTCAGCAAATGAATCCACCTGGTTTTACTTGGATACCTGCATTATGAATCTGATCTATATGTCAGAAAGACCCTGCTAACTTTAAATACGCTCAGTTAAAATAAAAGGTATGACCAGTGTGTCCTGCTGGGACAGTTACTAGATACCAGTTACCAGATATTGGGTCAGGAAGGAGTTTTTCCTAGATCAAGCTGACAGGGTGCTTTGCCCTCTTCTGTAGTTTGAGGCTACAGGAGTTTTGTTGGCCAAATGCATTGCTAGACAGGGAGCTTTGATGCTGGTGCTGCTCCATCTGTCCTCCTGTCTTCCTGTGGCACAATCCAGTTGTGGTGGTTGGTCTTTCACTACAGATGTTGTTTGTTTTAGTGTGCTGTGGCCTTTGCAGTGTGGGTTTCTGCACAGTGGATGATCTACAGGCTTAAATTATTTAGTGCCACAGTTGCTTGTGGTTGCTGAGGGCTGAAACTGAGGATGTAAGTGGTCCCTTCCTATCCCATGTTCCAGTATAATGCTGTTTCACGTGCTTTATGCTTCCACTACTAATTTTTGAGTTTTTAGGATCAAGAGTGTTGGGGAGAGGGCTGTAAAAGTAGGCTTTTTCTCCACAGCTGGTGTGTAAACAGGCCTTATAAACAACATGGGAAGCTGTCTGACTAGATAGAGAAAACAGTCTAAGAGCTATTGGCAAAGCTGCTGCATTCAGTGTAATCAGTCAGGCAGAAGAGATGCAGTGTGGCTTTTGCCAAGCTCTATAAATGATAGAAATCTCACATTTCTTATTGTTTGGATACTGTTTCTTCAAAATTAAAGAATAATGAAAGGAGATTATACAAAATATCTAAGTGCATTGTCGCTTACTCTTGGAGAAGTTTTATTAATCCAGTAACGTTACAAAAAAACAACATTTACCAAGAACAGTTTTGCTCATCTTGGCCTGTGAATTATCTGTCAAAAAGCAGTGCTTTGCCTTCAGTCTTCTCCTGGGACACATCTCTCTTGTGGTGGGAGCATGAATGTGGTGAAATGCAAAGGCAGTTCAGCCTGAGGTTTGGTGGGATTCACATTGTAGCAGCATGGAGAAGTCCACAGCTGTCTGCAGGAAACATAAAATGTTCTCAATAGCATTCAGGTCCAGAGTGGAGATGTAAATACGTTGCTTTTCAGAACAGATCACTGCTAATCATTTTTTCTGGTGAGACTGTGCTTCTACCTTGAATTTCACTGGTTGAACATGTGCTCAGTCATTGCACATCTTGCTGAGGGAGTTAACTTGGGAGCCAGGCTGTTCTGCACAGAGAGCATCCCTGGTCTACAACCTGCTTCCTCACTGCTGCACTGAGCTGTCAGCATAAAAATACTTTGTCTCATCTCTTTGGAACAGCTCACTCTGCACTCCAAAGGCTTTTCCATATCACTTAAGTCTTTGCCTGTTGAAGTGCTTAATCACTTAAGGGAACTCCACATCCTACAATACCTGGCTCTTTGTGCTTTGTAGCCCATAAAGTCCTGTGCTAGAAAGGTACACAGATATGTGTTTGTAAAAGGGGACATTTTCAAAGACTCACTCCACTCCTAGGTCTGGTACCACTCTGTGCAAGTTCAGCTAGATCCACATGGACACTCATATATCTTCCCTGGCTGTGCTTGTGTTGGAGATCGGGCCCAGAAGCCAGGTAGCTGGAGGCCATCAGATGAGTATCTTTGAAGTAAATCTTCCTATCATCCCACTTACTACTCTGTGGTTAACATTGTGGGGTAGTCTTAGTGCTTAACCTGCATTACCTTTGAATTAAACTTAATCAGAAGACAGCGTACCTTATGCTGTCCAGCTATTAATAGGCCACTCACCAGGCTGGAGCTGGTTGCAAATAAAACCCACTGAACCTCAATTAGTGTCAACATTGGGTCTTTATTAACATTTCTCTTTACAGATCCACTCCAGTACGGGCATAGTCTGGGTCAACCAGGGCTGAGTCTGGACTATGAGTGCTGCTGAGCACCAGGGCAAACCAGCTGGGGCAGAACATGTGCCCATAAGGTTATCTGGCTCACAGATTGAAGGTTGTTCCACATCTGGAAGTGGAAGTAGAGTAGACATAGAGATGTCTGTGCACTCTCCACAGCCTACAATACTGCACTGGAAGTTTCTGCCAACTGCAGGCTGTCTGATTCTCTGGCAAAGAGCAACCCCAGCTTGCTCTTCTGGGTGCAATATGGGATGCTGATTCTCTGTGTTGTAAGATGTGCCAGTCAGCTGATGAGTACTATCTTGTGTCTGGTCTTGCTCTGAATTTGCATCTTGGTGGACATGGAGAGTTGCGAGTTAGGTTTTCTAGCAGATAACTCTCTCTGGTGTTGTAGTTTCCCTGGTTTATCCTCACCGTTCACCAGAATCTGACCTTCTGCTGTTTCCAGCACCTGACTCTGGTCTTGTGAACAGCAAAAATCTTGTTCTGTAGTTACCTAAAAGAAATAGAACCTGTGGCTAGTATAAAGGTTTTTAATTTATCTTGTGGATGGTCATCTTCTCAGGCATAGATATTAGCTCCAAAAAAATTGACGGAGTAATGTTTGGACAAGGAAATAAAGGCAGGGTACAAAAGCAGAGGAGATGCATTGGTATGACTAAGATCACAGTGCTAGTAAAAAATTTCCAGATGTGGCAGAGAAAAAAAGTTATTATTTCAATCTCTTTTCAGTTTCAATATTTAAGTTTTTTTTTTTTAAATCTGGAATTATTAGTGGTAGTAGTGTCTGTAGTGACCGTATAGCTTAACGGGGAAGTCCGTCCTGATGTCTGCTTTTGCTTTTCTTTTTACTCAGAGCTCCTTAAATCAGGAGTTCTTTCTCATTTAATTTGCTTGCATAGCAAAAACAGCGGTGGCAAAGGCAGCAGATACCAGCTTCGTTCTGCAAATACCAATCAAAGATGCATACACTGCCAATTTGGGAACCCAAGTTTTAAATCCAAATTGCCTGTCTGTAATGTGAGTGCTTTCAGTCAATTCAATTTATCAAAGTCTGTCTCAGTGCCCGAGATGTGGTGGTTTGGGCTGTTAAATATGCTGTTTCAGTTAACTATCGCAGCAGGATGTTGTTATTCATTAAGCTATATTACAAGAAGTGCATGAGGCAAACCAAGTGAGAATCTCTGCCTTCACCGCTTAAGCAAACATATCCCTGAAGAGAAAGGAAGGCAGGAGAAATGGCAGTCACAGTCGTGACCCTTCAGCGCAAACCAGCAGGACACAGGGAACAACTCAAACAGGGCTCTTCAAAAAGCAGCTGTTGATGCATCCGCAGCACGGGGGTGAGTGTGTGGTGGGAGGAATTCTGGCTGGGGCAGATGAAGTCTCCCCTGGGACTGGTGTTCCAGCCCAGCTCCTCTGCACGTTCAGATATCTCCTGCACAATAGTACCCTCTGTGGCTCGGCCAAAACCACACAGCAGCTCTGCAGCAGAGATAAGAATAGAATCCAAGTTTTCAAGCTGAGGTCAGGGAGAGTCTTTCATTTAATGTATATCAGACCCACGCTTGGGCACGTGTGCTAGTGGAAAGATCACGGACAGATTTACTTGTATAAAAGCCAGCCCCTCCTTAATGATTTGAAATGCTAACATGACTTGGCTTGTACATAAGTAGGTAGAGGAATGATTTCACAGGAAGACAATCCTTTTACGAATGTGCTTCTAATTCTGTGTTTGTATTGCTTCTCCTGTATGTGTCAGCTGTGCACTTAGGAGGCCCACTGAAAAAGCAGTTATACTGAAACCAGTGGGAGAACTTGCAAGGAGAAGGGGTACTCCTGTGAATAGAGATGGCAGCTCTGGATCATTAACAGAGTTACTGGTGGGAGAACTGCTTGGGATTTTCTCTGACTCTCTTCAGGCTAAGTATGCCTGTTGTGCCTAAGTATGTCACCAGCAGCTATGTGCAAATGTATAAGGATGATCAGTGAAATTCTAGCTGAAGAATATGAAAGGCAGATGTGTATTGCAGTTGATTTATCTAATACAGAATTTTGGCTTTGTTTGATGGGTGATCGTTTGATGCTGTGGTTCCTAAAGCTGCTGCTCTCTTGTTTGCAGGTGAAGAGGAGGAGGATGGAATAGAAAGGACCTGTGACACCCTGCTCATGTGCATTGTGACTGTATTAAACCAAGGCCTGCGAAATGGTGGTGGTGTGGGAGACGTGCTCAGAAAGCCTTCCAAAGATGTAAGTGGTTTGGCTGAGGAAATGCATTACTCCCCGTGCATCTCATGAATGCCAAAGTCAGTTTTTGGAGGTTATAGGCAGTATTTGTATGTAGTCTGCTCTAATGTCACACAGTTGATTTATCCATGTAATTTTTACATCCCAGATGCAATATTTAATGGGAAGAGCTAAGCGTGGTGTGATTATGATACTTGAAGAAAGGAACTCTAGGTAGTAGTTTACCCCTTCTAGAAAACTGGAGCGTACTGTAACCTTCCAAGCACCACTAAGAAGTGTTGCTGGATTGTGTCACTCTTGTTACACTAGGAATTATAAAAGCAAACTTTTGAAAGGGATTGATTGATGAGTATATGTAAAGACTCTCCACTGTAGTACATAAGGTTTATTTTTAGCTGAAATTCAGCATGGCATCTGCCTTGGAATAGGTCCTGTTGTTTACTTGTACTCAACTAGCATCGAAGTCAAAACAAAATTTCATATATTGTGGTATATGTCTTCTTCCAGAAATTTCCTCCAAAATTCAATTTGTTTAAGGACTACTCATAATTTTTGTGTGGTTTTATGCATTTTTATTTAAATTCAAAAAGAACATAATAAATAAAGGCACTCTAGCAGCACTTTGCTTGATGACCGACACCATAACACAAGGATTAAATTCACAGGTAGGATCTCAGCAGGGCTTGCAAGAGTCCAGAGACAAATAACTCGCATCTGGATGGAAGAGCTCCTTGTGCTGGTAGTAGGAATCTAGGTCCTGTCTCACAGACTGGAACGTCCTACGGGAACCATAGTCCATTCCCATGGTGTCTGTAAATGCTTACAGACTTTGAAAATGACCCTTGCCACTTAGTAGTTATTTAATGCTAACTACATTAAAGCACTTCACAAAGGATAGCACTATTATCCTGATGAATGTGTGGAAAACTGACAAAATCAGTGACTTCCAATTCAGTATCATGGTGAAGAAAAGGACTTGGGTTTTATGTTCCTCCTCCTTACCTCTCCTGTTTGCCACAGAACAACTTTGCTATTTTTAGAGGTGTCAGTGGGAGTCCAGTCCAGCCTTCACAAGAAGGAAAGTAGTTATGATGTAAAAAACAAGAATGTGATGAAATAGGGGGTATGAACACTTCATGTGTGTGTGCGTGTTGTGTTCCCAAAAGATGCGAGCTTGGTCTGCCTACTCTGAGCCAACTTACAGCCGTATGACTGCATTAGCACAGTGCTGAAACCATGCACACGGCCTGCTTGGGCACAGAGTGCAGCAGCCTGGCCTTGGCAGTGCCCAGGCATTCTCCCCTGGTTTCCAGTTGTTCGGTGTGCAAGCTTGGCATTGGTTTGGAGTATTCCACAAAGACGTACCGTGAGCATATCCCTGCATGCCACAAGGCGTTGCTAAGAAGAGCTATCGTTGCTCTCTGTGGGTACTAGAAACTGCAGCTCTGTTTTTCTGTACTGCAAGGTAATTATCTTCAATCAAGCACTACACTAATGCATCTCCACTGCAGCCGGTACACACGCTAGTCTCTTCTTTGTGTTGTGTGAAACAACGTGAAGGACAACGAGAGTCCCAAAGCGATAAGAGCCCATGAAGCCAAATCTTCTTTGCTTAGTCACATAGGTAGTCCCTCTCTATTTATGTGAGGAAGGCCAGCAGAATTTAGCATATGAAAAGAAAGATGTTTAGCTTTTCTTGAGTTAATGTGAAAATGTTGAATATTTCAGAGGTGTGCTATTTTTATATCTCATTGCAACCTTATTGTTTCAGGAGCCCTTGTTTGCTGCGCGAGTTGTTTACGATCTTCTGTTTTACTTCATTGTCATAATTATTGTTCTAAACCTAATCTTTGGAGTCATCATTGATACATTTGCTGATCTCAGAAGTGAAAAGCAGAAAAAGGAGGAAATACTAAAGACAACCTGTTTCATCTGTGGTAGGTGTTACTGAGCTATTGAGACATTTGATGCATAAAGGAGTAAAATGAACTATTCCTCAATAAATAACGTGTAACCACCTAAGGGGTGGTTATCTTCTACAAGGAAAGTCTGTAAAAATATCAGAGTTTGGTTCCAAATTTATTCCCTCTCAGTAGGAAAAATATTTGGTTTAAGAGTCAAAAACTAGCTTTGCTAAGAGGTGGTTTCACAGTCTCCACCCTGGATCTGAGGGAGAAGAGCCGTGTCTCACACTCACATCATCACCACTAATGGAGACAGTGCAGCTGCTGACTTTATTTCACAAAGCATGATGCAGATGAAAGTACAGCTTGCTATTTCACAGCACAGTGCATTCCAGAAGGGTAACAACAGCAAAATTTGCCTGTTTCAGAAGGTGATATGAAACAGGGAACAAAAGAATTAAACAAAAATCATCCCCACAAAACCCACAGATAACACACTTAACTTTGAGGTGTGCTCACAAAGAGGGGTAGACCTTTACTCCCTTAGGGGACATTAGAAATACCTTCTTTATTGTAGGCTGGGTGTTGTTTCCATGGTTGTACTGACAGGGATGAACATTGTGCAGAGCACAACGGCTTTAGTGTCAGTGGAAGGCTCCACAAGAGATCCAGGAGGAAAGCTCTAACACTGAGGGAAACGTGTGAATCCGGTCCTTCCTCACTGTGGTAATTCTTCTTCAGTGATTTGACCTGTTATAGGAAAAAAATTAAAAATTCTTATGAGTACACCTCTGTAAAGACTGTGTGACTACAAAGCCACAGAGACTCACCCTTGCTGCTAGGTTTACGCACACAAACAATCCCGACGCAGCTTAAGTGGGTCTATTCACATGCTTGATGCTAAACGTGTGCATAAATCTTTGCAAGATCAGGACATAGATTGCACGCTGTGTGCTCACCAGTATACATTTAGAAAGAATCAGAGCCAACACTTGTAAAGCACTTTATAGCCCTCATCATAGAAGGCACTGTAAAACTGTAACGTATTTATTATATTGTTATTAAGAGGAAATATCACAAAAGAGAATAAACACTGCGCTGAAAGAATTCTGTC